TACACTTCACCTACCGGTACGAGGCTGCCACTCGAGAACCTAACCTTTCTTTAATCTATGTTAACTATAAATTAAGAGGTGCACTTCACTCTGTATCAATTCGCAACAGTATAATACGTCCTCTTACAACAGGTACTTAATAAAAAAAATATTGTGTACAAAAAAACAATTGTGTTAAAATTGAATTGAGAATATACTCCCGTCAATGCTTCGCCATAATATGCATAACCATCGCCGAAAAAAAAAAACTACCCCTGTTGCCCGTGGAAGTCGTGAATCCAACAAGGAGACGTGCAGCAGTATCTTCTTAAAAACTAAAAATATTTTTTTAATGTTTTATTACAAAAAATACAATCGGTTGTTTCTTATATTACTATCGCCAAACTGCAGAGCAACTTGTTGACGAATACATCACCTACTTACATTCAAAGTACCTACTGTAATTAATATCTTAATCTTGAACTTAAAAACTTAAAATAGAAAATTTTAATTTCAACTTAGTTTATTGTTTGAATACCTCATTATCTTTAAAGTTATTAATAAATACACATTTAAGTATTAAATAAAACTATTATTTTTTAAATTAGAGATTATTAACTATTACACGTATTATCATTATAATTCACAATATCAGTAACTTCGTCTTCAGAAAATATCTAATTAAAAATACGTAGCACTAGACATTTGTTCGTACTTTTGCCGTAATAATTATTAATCGTATGCTCAACGTATACGAGTAATTCTAATATTTTTGATAAATGAACTGTTTTATACTTTAGAGATTTAAATTGATCTATTGTAAATAAGTACTTAAGTTTTACATGTATAAGTAAAATTCAATTTTTTTTAAATAAATATAAATACAATAATAATACATACAACGGTTGTCAATCCGCTGGCCAAGCGCGACAACTATGGCAAATGACCTTAAGAGGCAATCTATTGGAGAGGCCTATGTTCAGAGATGGGTTGTAAAGGTAACAGTCTGTTCTAAGTTCTAAGTATTTGACAAATATTTACACTTTTTGTAACCTTATCAAATAAAAAAACCATATAAATTATTTGTATATATTTTTATTACCCTCTTGGTTTTTTTTTTTATAGAATGTAGGTGACAAACGAGCTCACAGTCCATGATGATAACTGGATACTGTGGTCCATAGACATCTACATTTATTCTCGATTAAGAATCAAAATACAGATGCGTTGTCACCCCTGAGGACTACGATGGAATGCATCGTTTCCAGTAAAAAGGGTCTCCGGTTCCCTACACCCACCATACGAAACACAGCAGTATTAAGTTGCTATTTTACGCTGGTATTCTGTGAAAGCGTGGTCCCACCCCGGTCGAACCAATCCATAACTCTACCTGCGACCTCTATGCAGATATATCAAATTAGCATCTAAAAATCTTCGCGTGCTCAGCAGAGCGGGACAGTATTTCATGCCGGCACACCACCTGCAACTTTACAAGGCGCAGATTCGCCCTTACATGGAATACTGTTCCCATCTCTGGGCTGGGACTCTCCAGTTTCAGCTCCTTCAACTTGACCGCACCTAGCGCAGAGCGGCTCGAATCGTCAACGAACGAGTCCTTTCCGATCGGCTAGATTCACTGGCGCTGCGAAGAGATGTTGCATTCCTTTGCATTTTCTTTCGCATCTACCACGGTGAGTGCTCTGAAGAATTGTTCGAATTAATCTCAGCCGCCAAATTTCACGAACGCACATCGCGGCAAAATTCCCGATACCATCCACGCCATCCGGATGCTTGACGGTCCAACACTGTACTAGGAGTTTTATTCGGCGACGACCTCTCTGTGAAATAGCCTATCACCGGCGATTTTTCAGAACCGATACGACTTAGGGACCTTCAAGAAAAGAGCTTATTCCTTTCTAAAAGGCCGGGAAAGCACCTGCAATTCTCCTGGTGTTCATGGGCGGCGGTAGTTATATCAGATGAGCCGTATGGTCGTTTGCCCCCTCTCCTATGAAAAAATATGTGTGTGTGTGTGTGTGTGTTTGTGTGTGTGTGTGTGTGTGTGTGTGTGTGTGTGTGTGTGTGTGCGCATGCGTGCGTGTATGCGCGCGTGCGTGCGTGCGTGCGTGTGTGTGAATGTGCGTGTGGTGTGCGTGTGTGTGTGCGTGTGGGAGTGCGTGTGCGTGGGCGTGTGCGTGCGTGCAGGGTTATTTTGTAATAACCGGCCAATTTTCCTGAGAAAATTCATAATAAATAATATAGGCAAGAGGTGAAGAAAAAATTAAAAAAAAAGCTCAACCTTTCTGTCCTTTTTATCTTTTACATTGAAAATGTGTGGTAATGCATTATTTTAACTGATTGTACTGCGCACACACATATTCGTAAGGGTCGATCGGTAGGCAAAATATTGTTGCCCATAAATTTCATTCAATTTGGGCGTATTCTCATAAGCTGCAATAACGGTATATTATTATTTATATATTTGAACTTAAGATTAAAATTTGACTACTTTTTGAAAAATAACCCGGTATATATCGTACCTACATGATAATATAAATAATTTTGCAGAGCTTCCAATACAAAAATATTTAAATATAGTTGTCAAAAAAAATTACATAAATGAAGTAAAAGTTAAATACATTTTGCACAGTTATTCCCCTGAAGGTTTTAATATGATGGCGTTACCGAAACGAATTTACTATAGACGTGTAATGAGGAAGAATCGCATCTACGAACACATTCACAGCAGCCTAGCGGTGCAAGTTACAGACGAATTGCACACTATGAATTTGATCACGTCTGCGAAGACCGGCAATAGAGCCAGAATTCGCGGAGAGCCTAAGAGGCGATTGCTGGATGTCGTCTTGGCGAAGATTTCGAATGTAAAACAATTGATAATTTGAATAGGATGACCTAAATCGGAGAAAATAAATGGTTATTATGAAAGAAAGAAAGAAAGGAAGAATATGTTAATTTGTCGCTACAATTGCTTTAAACTTAATCTAATATATAAAATTAATATATTTGTTTGTTCGTGTTTTATGCGCTGCCATACCGCTTATTGGATTGCGGTAAAACTTTGTCAACTTATTGCTTGCACTTGCGCGAAGGTTATGAGCATAGTACAATTAACTTACAGTAGGTGGTGCGCGTATCGCAATAAATATTTGAAAGTTATATATATATCATTCCTAATTAAACAATACAAATCTTCCAAATTTAAAAAGATATTTCCCACCAACATTTATCAACTTTTATTTAAAAAATTAATATTAAGTTCAAAACCGATCTACTCACTGTGGTATATTCTCAAAAATACTGGCTGTATCTCCTCGCCAAACGTCTATATTTGCCTTTGGACCAGAAAAGAACACGCCCTCTTGTACAGCGGCGGCGATCAGCCGCTGATACTGTCTAGTAACAAAATAATAAATTAAAAAATAAACAAAGTTCACACTGGATTGCAACAACAAAAAGTCTACCGACTCAGCATTATGCTACAGCAACAGACTTGCCGTAGCGCAAAAATTCTGTCGGAGCCACATATTAAGCCGACTCGCGAGCAATCGCTGGAAATAAAATAATGAATATTTAATACAATCACTAGGTACGTTTACGTTCGTATTATTTACATTATACTGTTCTGTTACGTTATCGTATTCATTTACTTAATGTACTCTGATATGTTACATTTTCTACCGACTTCAAAAAGGAGACGGTACACGATTCGACTGTATGTTTTTTTTTATGTTTGTTATCTCATAACTTTTTACTGGGTGAACCGATTTCGATGATTCTTTTTATTTGAAAGCTGGTGCTTCACATATAAATTTGATCAAGGTCTGACCAGTGGTAGAGCCACGCGGCAGCTTTTGCTGTCGCACGGATGGGCCAGCTCGAAACTGGGTTGTACCACGACCTCACAGAATACCAGCGTGAAGTAGAGGTTTACCTCTGCGTTTCGCTTGGTGAGTGCAGGTGGCCGGAGGCCCTTTTTACTGGAAATTAGGCATTCCATCTTAGTCCTCACGGGTAGTAATGCATCTGCATTTTGATTCGCAAACGAGGATAGATGTAGATGTCTATGGGCCGCAGCAACCACTTATCATCAGGTGGACTGTGTGCTCGTTTGTCACCCTTATCCTATAAAAAACAACAATAGTTTTTGAATTATTCTTGATATGTAATTTACATTAAAATTGGTTGTACAAAATTACGATTTTGGTTTTTAACCAAAAGTTCACATTATAAGTTTTTTTTATAGAATAAGGGGAACGAATGAACACAGTCCACCTGATGATAACGGGATGCTGTGGCCCATAGACATCTACATTTATCCTCGATTAAGAATCGAAATGCAGATGCGTTGTCACACTGGAGGACTAAGATGGAATGCCTCGTTACCAATAAAAAGGGTATCCAGCTCTCTACATTCACCATACGAAATATAGCTGCATTAAGCTATTTTTACGCTGGTGTTCCGTGAGGGCGTGGTCCTTTCCCGGTCAAGCCGATCCTTCCGTGCTGCAACCATAATATAACTGTAGCTTGGCCCGACCATGTAAACAGTTTACACATTACAGTAATTAAAGTATCAAAAAAAAATGAGAACATGTTAAAGAAAATGTTGGGTATGAAAGCCTCTACACTTCAATAAATAAAAAAGCATGATGATAATACATGACTGTACTAGAATTTTTGCATAACTAATAACATTCCTTTATACTGTGTAACTCTAATCTTTATCAGCGTCCTTTATATTTTTTGCCTCACTCTATTGTTTTTCTCAATACCTAGCCCTTGTCGACATTACTAACAATAGGCGAACGCGTATTTCTATGCGCGTACGCTCTACAAAGCTACAAACTTTAACATAACTGGTATGAAAAACGTGTCAGTTTGTAGTTTTTATTGAATTTTAAATCCTATGAGGAAAGTATTAAGGCGCACAACGTAATTAAAGGGGCGTAAAGTAGAGGCTGGTACAAGGCGCGTTTCGGTGCGGTGCACATGGAGTCGGCAGTCGCGGGCCCATTGACTGTGGTTCCGGTGGGGTCGATCACCAGAGCGCGGTGTGTGCGTTCCTTTACATACGGTATTTAGAAGTTCGCTCGCGTATCGAACGCCTGTCCCGCGCTAAAATTTACGACAAAAAGTTTTCCGTGATATTGCTAACTTCGAATTAGACATAAATAATTTATTTATATTTTTTAATTGACTTACAGTGTATTTGTGAAGTGAAAATTATGAAAGACGATTTAACTTTTGCGCGCCAATTTACGACGGTAATAAAGTAGATAATTTTCCGTTTGATAAATACGAGTAGTGTCATTGTGTTATGGTTTGTGAAATATAGCTAACGAATTGCAAACATGAGGAATATGGGATTAAGTGGTTTTAAACTGTTATTTTTACTATGTTCGGTCGCTGTCAAAGTTGGTAAGTTATTTTTTTTAAAGTTATTTATTAAAATAAAGATACGTTATGTAATAGAAAAGATAGAGCAAATTTGTTTCTGCCTAGTTTTAAGTAAGTTTAGTTTATGTAATTTTTATCTAACTTGTTTAATTTTTGTGTACTTATACTTATGTACTTAAATACTTATAATATTATATATATATATATATATATATATATATATATATATATATGTACTACCAGTTCTCTATTGCATGAGTAATGCAATGACTAATTGAAGTACAATATCTAATGTCTTTTTTAACGATTCATCATTAAGTTAAATATACATAAAATTCTTTACCAATCATTATACAGTAATGAGAAATGTTAGAGAAATTAGTCACTTGTTTAATATATTAATGACTAGTTACCTCAATTAAATGTTAATTGCGTATTTGAAATGTTCATTTAATTGAAATTTAGAGCCTAGTTAAATATAAAATGCAAAAAATGAATAAATAAAATCCTCGATAAAGAAATTTTGAGATCCTATGGGCATATAAATCTATTATCTATTCTAAAATCATCATCTACAGAGAAAATCTAGCAAGTAACTACAGATTAATATTATGTAATTTATGTACTTAAAAAGCTGTTGAGTTAAACGATATTGAGTAATATTCAACGCCATGAAGTTCTTTTTTTTCTGTGGTAATTTTTCAAATATTTCAAGCAACTGATGACTTCTGAGTTCTTAGTTTCTTAATTAAGCAATGTGGTGTTATGTTTTCGTAACTTGATTATAGTACGCCCAACTTTTACCTTTATCGAACTTTAAAAATTTAAAATTACAGCCTTTAGACGCTGGGCTAGACCTCTTCTCAGTTCTGAGAGTATTATAGAGCAAAAAGACTGTCGTGCTGCATACATCTTAACGGACTTCACATGTCCTCGAATATATTTTATTCATCTCAAATACACGTTATCAGTAATCAACAGTTAAAATTGCAATTGACGATTTAGTTGGTGCCAGAAGAGAGCGAACCGGGGCTACACGCGTGCTGTGAAATTACTAGTGAGAATACGTACATTATACACGAAAACTTTCCTCAGTAAATTTTTTAAATACTTGCATCAACCTCAAAAAATAAATACTTTTGAAACTTAAACGCAGCACATAGACGTATATAAGCGATTTTGTTTTACTACCAAGAAACGCTCCGAATATAATTTTTTTATTTAATAAACGTAACGACAAACGAACTTAGAGCCCATCTTATGGGAAGTGGTTACTGCAGCCATAGTAGATATCTGCAAACAACTTCAAGCAAAGATGGTTACGGATGCGTTGTCACCTCTGAAAACTAAGATGGAATGCCTCACAGCCTGTAGTTATACTGGGTCTCTATACTCTTCTGAATACAGCAGCACACGACTGCTGCTTAGGTGAAGAAATAGGTAAGAGGGTACCTCCCAGACAGAGGACGTTTTAGACGTGGTAGAGCCATGCTGCAGTTATATTAGTAGTATAGTTGTAGCACGAATGGGTCGGCTCTACCGGGGAAGGACCACGCTCTCACAGAACATCAGCGTAAAACATCAGCTTAACACTGCTGTTTCGTATGGTGTGTGTATAGAACCGGAGACCCTTTTTACTGGAAAAGAGGCATTCCATCTTAGTCCTCACGGGTGACAACGTATCTGCATTTTGATTCTTTATTGAGGATAGATGTGGATGTCTAGGGGTCACAGCAACCACTTACCATCAGGTGGACTGTTTGCTCGTTTATCACCCTATCCTATAAAAAACACAGATTTCTAGGCAGAAAAATTTAGACAATTTAGCAAATTCTATTAAAATTTTTAAAGTTACTTTACGGAAAACCATTATATTAAAATTGTTAAAAATTTACTTGATAAGATCCGGGTAATGATATAAAATAATGTATATTACCCAGTTTGAACAGCACCTCTCGCTCTCCTATCGAGCACTATCCCCGTCACCACTAATTCCAGTACCACTACCCCTAACACCACTACACTAGGAAAGACACCACCGTCGACAATATGACACGTGTTTCGCCTGTACACGAGGCATTCTCTGGTGAAGTAGACTCTGAGGTAACTGACCGCTAAGTCAACCATAGCGGTCAGTTCTTTAAAGCAAAAGCAAAACTAAAGCATATACGTTTCATACGTCTGAACCGATTATCGACACATTTTTCTAGTGCGCCTCACTCGAACGCTGCTAGTTCATATTCCGGCAATGCAAACTGAATCAATTTCAGCTGATAATTTATTTTGGGGAATCAAAATAAGTCATATGGTGCCAAATCAGGGCTGTAAGGAGATTGATTCAAGAGCTTAACTGGTATGCGGTCCAGGAAGTCCCCTGTTTTGAGCGCCGAGTGCAGCGCAGGCGCGTGGACATGGTGAAACAGTATCCCCACGTTCGGTCGCTTGTTGCTCATACGAGTGGAAACTTTTGGCAAACATTTGATATCAAACTCTGGCATCTGGATATCAAAAACGTTCACACCATCACGTTAAAAAACTAGTAATCGAAATATTCCTTGCGCTTCTCAACCACTTCATTTAGAAAGACATTAGTTTACATAGAAACAGCTAAACCCTCGCTTGCGCTTCGTTTCTGAGTTATATTTATATAACCAACATTCTGTAATAATGTCGTAAATACGCAGAAACAAGTCTGCCTCAAATTTAGTAATCATGTTGTCACGTGAGCCTGCATCTAAGCATCAGTGAGGTTGTGCGGCACCCAATGCGAAACTATCCTCTTAACGCAAAGGCATTCGTGTAAAATCTCGTGAATGCTTCCCAGCCTAGTTTGCAATATGTGCCGAGTTTCTTCGTCTTTTTTTTTCAATTCAAGTAATTTATCCAGGAGTGGATGTCTGTCCTTGTGAAATTTATGTATGTAAACTGCCTCCGATAAACGATGCAGGAGAAAATCCTAGTACGAGTATGACAGTGAGTAACTTTATCAAAAATTATAAATTAATAAACAATAATTAGTTTACTGCTAGTACATTTCCTTACTTTCCGTAACAGACGTCAAAGGGCGACCACTTTTTACTTCGCCTCTCAAAGTTAATCGACCGTGTTGAATTTTGTTATACTAGTTACCAGCGGTACACGATTGCCTTAGGAGGGCCTAATGCCTAAATGCCATTTAAATCTATCAAATGTTTCAACCAGCTTTCGGCAACAATCGTAAGAAAGTTAATGTGCAAAAATGTTGCCGAGACAGATTCATTTTTCAATGAAACACGATATTTTAATTTAGCTCGTAAAAATGAAGAGAGAAATTTTAAATTGAAATTCGTACATATTTTTACTAGTAAGTTATTATTTACGACTTGTTTATTATTTAAATAACTATCAGGATATCAGTTTTACAAAATTTATTATTACTGGCCAGTGTCATATACAAAAAAAAAACGTTATTTTGCAAAACTTTCTGCATGGTCTGTCGTATTTCTATATTGTTTATATTAATCCGTAAAACTTACATTGAGGTGTTAAAACATGGAAAACATTAAGCCAATACAATCATATTGATAAAAACTTTATCGGGATAACAATATTTTATAAGTCATTATTAATTCTACCGTTTGCATTACTTTTATTACTGGCTCCGTCCGCGTGGAAACATCATGTTATTTTTTTTAATATCATGTTGATTTTCGCGCGGTATAAATTATACCATGTGTTATTTCTGTATAATATGGCTCCCCGTGTACGCACTAAATTTTGTCATAAACCATTAGCTTGTTTATATTTGATTAAGTAACAATTATTTAAAGGTTTTCATAAATATGTATAATATTCTTCTTACTTTATCAGGATTGTGACCACTGCTGGACATAAGTCTTGAGTCTTGGCAGGTGGTTTGTCACTTACAGTAAGACGTTTCGCACTTTTGACGATGCTTCCCGTCACCGAGTATTTTACGTCTAGCGTAAATATATTCTACTTTTCTGGCATTTCTTAAGCCATCATCACAACATATTATTGGTCATTCTCATCATTATAATTCTCATCAACTTTACAGCACAGCACAGTTTCACTGCTGAACAAAGGCCTCCTCCATATATTGTCTCAAAGTACGGTCCCGACCCTGCATCCAACATAATAATAATAATGTCCTCCAGACCGAATTTCGGTCACGGCGGTCAGCCACAACCGAGAATAGCCATCGGCGCGGGACGGGATTATAGTGCTTAAGTGTATGCCCAAGTACAGGTGCACTCTCTATTCCCTAACTCTCATAGTCCAATGGGACAGTAAACCGACACGACCGGAGAGAGATCAGGCGCAAGACCAACGGCTTTACGTGCTTTCCAAGGCACGGGGGTGAGATACCGCCAACTTCGTGACTCCGGGCAGTTACTGAGAATTTCTTGATGGAAAAGCTCAATAACTGATTTTTTTGGCCCGACCCGGGATCCGAAGCCAAGACCTCATTATCAGTAGTCGCACTACTACAACCACTAGACAAACGAGGCAGTCGCTTCCAACAACTACCTACGTGATGCATCGGGTTGTCACTCCATCTAGTGAGATAAAGTTGATAAATTTAATATTAGTATAAACGTGGGCCGCAATTTTAAATGGTAAGGCATGAATTCCACGTCGAGGGATCTTCGTTGGATCCTAATCGGAGCCAAAATTTGTAGAGAAACTCAAACTATCGGTGGACAGATCTGATCTGATTGTCTCCGGGTGTCTAACGCCGCATTGGAACTTAACTCCGATCCTATTGAATTGGTGTTATATCGAACACGAGGACAACAAACTAAAAAGAGATAGTACCTTTGTGCAAACACACGTATTTACTGTAATATCATCTACTACGGCCTACTATCTCTAGAATTCTGCATGTTTAATATTTTTTGATTGCATTTCATTACCACTCCTATAATATTTATTGTATTCATAGATAAAACAACGGTACCTAAAAACTCTACCCTACTGACTCTCTACCAACTGTAATAATTTTAATTTTAATACTCTGC